AATACGAGTTGAAATGAATAAGCAATCATGTGAAAGATTCAATTATGGCAACTATTTCAATTCTACCGCCATAATGGCTGAACTGATCGAGATCAGTAGCAACTTACGAAACACTGACGTCAAACGGAAGTGACTTTTATACTGGACAAAAGATTGGTGTGCTACGGCTTAAATTTGTGGAAGGAAGTAATACACACTAAGCACTCAGACTCAGCGTATTCGATTAAGAGTTACATCAGTCGTTATATCAAATATTCTTGACTTATATTTTAGCAAACTCCTTTTGACTTTCAAGTTTAAGTTCACTAAAATATCTTTAATCCTATCTTAATGTTGTTCGTGATGGTTTCTTAGTTATACAATATAGAATTACTACTTAATAAGTGATATAGGGATAATTTGTCCTACCTGAAAAGTCGTTCTCCTCGCCTCCTCCTTCTTCTTCGGGGGCGTTTGTTGTTCCCGAGGGTTTTACTAATGGTACCATTTCAAAATTGAGATGATTAGTATTAATAAAATGAGTATAGCATACAAGTTTGAAAACAGGACTGACTGAAAAGATGACGTATGAGTTGTTACGGTTTACAGACTTTAGTCACGACTTACAAGCTTGATAACAGTCGAAAGTTATGACTTCGAAATATAAGATGAACATTTTTGTTATTTACAATATTGAGGCTGATTGATGATAAATACAAACCACAAGGTATTCGTGATGTACATTCTTGAGGTTGATTGGTTCTAAATACACTTACAAATTGTCATGATTTAAAAGCACGAGTCTAATTAATATCATCAGTTGTATGAACAATAGAACTTAGATCCTGTACAATTAATGAAAATTGTTTTCTTTTTTGTTGATCAACTGCGTTAATGAGATGGCGCTTAGTTTCATAATGCTAAAAGAAAACTACATTATCATTACCACATTCTTACAAAGCTATTCCACGTATCTCTTACAGGTTCAAAAATAGACAGATGTTTCTTACGTGTTACAAAATAGAAGCTGTGAAACAACTTGTACATCTCACGCACGATATAGAACGTTTCAACCGTAACTACACATAGTATTTTTAATGTTTGTATGTGTGTGTGTGTAAACTGTACGTTACAAAATATCGGATTATGTTTGCATACGACAATTGACGGAAACAGTCTACAATGTGGAATTTGAGGTCATACTGGGCGTTTTTTGACGAGAGAGATTTTCCTAATAAGTCCATAAAACACTGGATAATTTCCAGTTTTATAAGGTTTATTACAAATATAGTTGTATATTTGAACTTCGTGTTTTTACCAAAGGTGTACTTACAGCAGTTGTACTTAACAGGACAGCATGTTCCTTCCCGATAGATTGGTAAGCACTCTTTGACCACAAGAGCACACTCTTGCATAACACAGGAACTGCTTCTGTTGATGCAGTAGCAAACTTCACATGGATTCTCTGGATCAGAGGGTAACAAGGCACCTTCGGGATAGTATTCGCTACCCTGGTAGCATCCTGGAAAAGAGATAAAAAGTATTTTTTTCTGGCAATAAAATGCTTGCTTAAAGCAAATAACACCATATATAGTAGCGTGTGTCTTCACGATGATATTTGCTGTACAGATAACATTTTCAAATATTAACGAGAGATTCCAAAAACTATGGATCTTTGTTAAATTTTTACTTTTCAATTTGTGGACAAAATTCTAACTAATTCGAGATATACCTTGGGGTTTAGAGGTATTTATTTTAAACAAGATGACCATTTTTTTCTTGTTAGTCTTAGAATTTATTGTCTCCAGTCGTTGGATCAACTTTAACTCTCTTTTTTTTTACCTTCTCGTGTTTTGAGTGAATCTTATGACAAAAGTTATGACTTACTGGATTAGCGCAAAACATACTTTTTGTACAACAGTTTTACTGTATGAGCATTATGAATACTAATTTTTCGAAAAAGGTATTAGTTTAATCTTCCCTTCAACGCATATAGGTGTATTGGTGTGAACTGACTGCAGCATGACTTGGACATGTTGTACACATATCCCAACTAACAGGAAAGTTTTAGCCAAGGAATACCAATTGGAAGTTGTTACAAATATCTAAAGAAATGTCTCAGAATGTTCGTGTGGTGCCCTTATTTCTAGTCATCGAATTGAACTCTTACCTGCATCTTCCGGGGGATATTGATCAATGATTGGAACTGAAGTTGTCAACTCAGAAACTATAAAAAAAAAATCATTAAACTTAATAATTCAATATCAGCACAAATACACAAATATGTGCGTAAACGACCTTTGATCTCAATAGCCCATTAGAGGTAATTTTTTTGTCTATTATTGTAACAATTAGCTTTTTTATAGGTAACAAGCTGAGGTACATGTCTTTTGTCCGGGTTATGAACTTAAAAATGTGAGGGGGATGCTATGATAAATAATACAAAAATTCTAAGTTTCACACAATTTATTTATAACATATTATTACAGTATTCATTACTACCTCACCAATATTTTTGTATAAGGTTTAATAACTCATTATGTATATACTTAAAACGTGGTATACACTGTGAAATGGTCAGTGTGACTTTGTATTAAGAGGTAGCAGCCACAGTAGTGACTGTAGAGGTGCTTTCTGTTACCCAACTCTTAATGTCCTTCCACAGTATTTCATGAGATTAATTAATTGACGGTCATTGGCCGCAGTAGTGTCTTATAGACAGAAACAGAAACGTCACGAGTCAAAGTAGGAAGTGGGTATAACTCAAGAAACGGCTTTTCATATCAGTCTTATGGTGGCTGTTGGAGTAGAAATTTTAGCTAAATTTATGTAGTATTGCAATAGAAGCGGCCATTTGTTTTCATTGGTTTCTGAGATATATAAGACGTTTGTGTGCCTTCCCCAACACTGTGTGTATATGTTGTGCTATATGAAACTGAATAGTTTTTTATCTAAGGATGTGGCGCCATCTATGGATATAGCTAACGTTAACTTACGTCAAATATAATAAATGCTTGATAACAGCAATAAAGGTGGTGGAGGGGTCGATAGCCCACCATTAACATGCTCCTATCATCCCAGAAAGTTTGGTTGAAAAGCTTGGCATGGCCAGGTGGTTAGGGAGCTCGACTTGCAATCTGCGGGTCGCGAGTTCGAATCCCCGTCACACCAAACATGCTCGCCCTTTCAGCCATAGGGCGTTATAATGTTATAGTCAATCCCACTATTCGTTGGTAAAAGAGTATCCCATGAGTTGGCGGTGGGTGGTGATGACTAGCTGCCTTCCCTCTAGTCTTACACTACTAAATTAGTGACGGCTAGTGCAGATAGCCCTCGTGTAGCTTTTCACGAAATTTAAAAAACAAACAAACAAGTTTGGTTGAGATTGGCTTAGCGACATAAGAGTAGTTAAATAACAGACAAACAGACAAACACATATATTTTTGTGCTTTATATATAGAGATTGAGGGCAGTCTTTAGGTTGATTTCCAATCACGTGCTTGATCGTCACTTCCATGTTTTATTTTATTTATGATGATTAAAATTATATGACTTACTTAGCATCAAAACGAAGCCGAATAGTTATTTCATTATACTATTATGCTGGAATAATAATTATTTGATGATATTTTCAAAACATTATTTTTTAATCGGTAGCCAGAGGACACATTAAGCAATGGCCACATAAAACTTATACGATTATTTATAATCGCAGCGACGTGTCCAGCCATATTTTGTAATCCAAGTGAATTCTAGAACATTACATAGAACACTAATCAATGCAACTAGTTTTGGTGATTCAAGTGATTATCATCGCTACTTACTTCTATAGTTAAGGTTAATTAGCCACCCAATCATAGGGCATATTTTGTATGATCTATTACCAATACATGGAGCTGGTTTTGAAAAATTACAAATAATAATAAGTATCCGCTCTAATTATTGACTCACATAATAAAAAACAAAAACCTTGTTTTTAGATTTTGTTCCGATTCTTTTGATTACATACTGTACTTCACGCTAGGACAACGTTTCTCACGAAGCTGACAAACCTGATAGTCCAAGGCTGGAACCGCAATATAAATATAAATACGCTCCATAATTTGACTTTGAATCGTAGAGACATTATAACTATTACGGTCAATTCTGTTATTCGGTTAAGAGTAGCAGCATAGGTTGACTGTTTGCGTCCTCCCTCTGGTCAGCACTTTTAAATTAGTGATGGTAATGCCTAAATATGTGTCCCTATAGCGCAGTGGATAGCGCGTTGGATTTCTAATCCAAAGGTACAACCATTGCCTGGTCCCAAGACCAGGATGAAAAAGGGTGAAAGCTATCAACTCCGCCCCGTAAAAACCAACCTGCTAAAAAATTACTGCAACAACAACTTCCGTCGGCGAGGTGTTGTTGGGGCCCTATGCTCCAGTGGGAATCGACAGGGATTATTATTATTATTTAATGTCTAAATATAGAATCTCTGACCTGGTCTATTAGCACATGTACCGTATAAGGTGCCGTAGAGGCTGAAAATATCTAAAATTTGTTTAGGATACCTGACAAGTTTCTCATTATTTAGTTTTGGTGCGTGTGCAAATGTTCTAAGGCTGCTAAATGAAAAAAAAACAACAAAAAACCTCCCGTTTCTATATCGCAAGAAAGAATAATTGTTTATATTTAAATTTGTAATAATAATGTTCTGGGGGCGTTACTCACAACCAGGTGTACGAACGTGGTCAAAGCCATGATTTTATAACAAGAAAGAGCTAAAATAACTGTACTTATAGTTGCCCTTTACACAATTACACAAAAAACCGGGAGACATTTGAAATATTTATGTGCAACGACATTAGAAACGTTATTTCTATTGAGTAACTCTTTCCATTATCTCCAAGATGGGTGCAAATAACAAGAGCTAGAGAAAAGAAAGCGGGTACTAACCTTCCGGACAGATAACCTTCGAACAACATTCGCCCTCCTGTTTTTCCTCTATACATCCTTTTTCTAGCGGTTTTGTGTATGGGCAAACCCGAAGGAAGCACGTGAGCATGGAATTCGTGCATGTGCAGTTGAGACATGGTTCATTTGTTTGTATCTGTTCTCCATTATCATAGTGTTTCATCATATAGTAACATCCTGTAAGAAAGCATCATCTTATAGTAACATCCTGTAAGAAAGCATCATCTTATAGTAACATCCTGTAAGAAAGCATCATCTTATAGTAACATCCTGTAAGAAAGCATCATCTTATAGTAACATCCTGTAAGAAAGCATCATCTTATAGTAACATCATGTTAAAATATCATCATATAACAGCATATTCCTTAAATTTTTTTCCTCACACCATGGCTTATTTTAAAAGGCATTAGTCAAGTAAGAAAACATGATAGTAAATTTTGTGTGTTGGGGGAAAGAGAAATATTATCACATGTTAATATTCTGTAATAAGTATCAACGTATAGCGATATCCAGTAATAAAAATATTATAATGAGCGTCGAATAATAGAAGTATCACATAAAGTAACAACTGGTAAAGTAAGTATCAGAATATATAGCGTGTAATCAGCATTCTACAACAGAGAAGAAATTATCTAGTGGTACCCTGTAAGAGAAGAATTATCATATGTATCTGAGGGAGGAGGATTAAGCTAGTGAGATTTTATTTGGTAAGAAAAGAACATATTGCAGTTCATATATGTTGCATAAAGTGTCAGAAAATAGATTAAATGCATTATCTCTTTTACGACATATGATTCATACCTTTTGGGATAGTATCGATAATATCACTAATGGAATAAATATCTGATGTAGTAACTTCAATATATGTATACAGTAATGGAAGCACACAAGCGATATATATATAGGAACCACAAACAACAACTAAAAGCAACTACGAAAATCATATAATTTGGACAATGACTAGTATTTTGCTGATCCCACTGTTTTACACAGCGCATTATTTTCATGTTACCATATAATTTATCAACATACTATTTTGGAATTTCAAACATTTTCATACTGGGGCTTTATAAAAACAAAACTATGGTTGTAAGTTAAGATAATGTTTGCCACTTTTGCTTGCTTGAAGACTAATTCCCACTCGAGGAGTCGTGTTCCTGAAGAAATGACATGATGGATTCGAATCTCCCTGTACTTGTCAGCAGTCGGGGTGCCATTAATTTTGTGTAAATCACCGATATTATTTGCTGGGATATGCAGCCCAAACTTGTATTGATCCCTCACCATATTTTGCTGCACGTATTGTACATTGACTATGGTGCCGTTCTCCTCTGTGCCTTCTAATAAACTGCTGTTGATTATTGGCGAACAATTCTAACTTGTATTCATTTGTAAAACTTATTCTACTCTTTGCGGATCGATACCAATTTCAACCTTTTGGTTTACTTATTTATTCTCAACAAAGGTTCTCGAGCAACTACATATCCATTGAGATCAGTTCGTTCAAACGTGTATTTTACTGTTCTCAGTATATCACTCACACCTGTATTTGCAGAAAGGTTATTGGCAAGATTTGTATTCGACCATTGTATGTCTTACAAATAACATACCTTGAGATAATAATGGCTGGAGACGGCTTGGATGGGTAATGAAGAAAAACTTTAATATAAGTTGAACATAACAGCAAATGTACAACGTTTCGACAAGGTTTTGTACCTGATGATGACAAAACCTTGTCGAAACGTTGTACATTTG